AACAGTATCACTTGTAAGTTTGGGTTTTGATGTGACTTGTAAGTTAGCGGTGGTCGATACGGTCGTGTTGTTGATGTATGTGTATGAAACCAATGAAGCAAATGAACGAAGTGCTGAATACTAGAGTGAGTCGGGACGATACAGCGTATTACGTATGGATGTTACTAGGAAAGTGCGTTGTGACTACGCACAATCGACTGGGACTCAATTCGCCCTTTAGTACGTTCGCTGATCGTCGGAAATACTACTGCCTCCGTCAGTCCCATTACCGTCCCTACATCATCTCCATCAATTCGACATTTCAAACATAATCGTCCCATCGTTTCATTTCGTGTTGAGCAAAACAAAACGCGATGCAAGGATGGTGTTGTGAACCAAGATGAAGATGCTTCACTTGGAACACAGAAGTAAGAGCATTGATAGCCAGGGTCGCCATATGTGACGACTTTAGATAGAAGAAGAGTTAGCGCTGATGAAATTGCGCTTTATTGTATTTCTTCATATCAAGAATCGCATCATTTACATACAAAGCACACGCTTATATATCCAAACGTCAAAAGAAGAGTAATATGAAAGAAAATGATAATAAGGACAAAGTAAGATGGGGGCAAAGTACCACATGATGTACGAAGTAAGGACAGAAAGATAAGGACAATGCATAAGATGAAAAGAAATAGTAAGAAGAGGACGAACATCATACATACAAAGTACTCAACAGGGAACCTTACAGTTCGAACAGAGTTTTCTTTTATTCGTTCCAGCGTGTCTATTTGTCATATATTTCAACGTGTGTTTTTAGTGTTCTTCCACTAAAAACACGAATTTTTCACAAACACGCTAGAATGTGTTTTCTTTTAACACAATTTTTTATTGAAAAACGAGTTGTTTTTACAAGCTAGTCAAGTAAATATTCACATTCGTATTTTGACTAAAACTGTCGTTTTATGAAATAGAATTTACCACTATTTGAACAATCATAGTTGAAAATATATCGTATAAATAGCTTTGCTATAGCGATACATTTTATGACTAGTATTCTACAGCGTATTTGAGCATAACGAAAGGAAGAATAAGTCGCGTAACAAAAAGAGCAAGTCCAAATCAATTATAACAAGTTTAATCGAGCAAAAAGTAATTTCTTATCCAAGTCCGAAAAGCTATAGAGAAGATGATATTGAGATGAAAACTGTTGAATTATCTCTATACAGCGACTACACCTACAGTGCTTTTTTAACGTTGTAACAAAATTTCTAACGATCTATAGTCAGAGCATTATTTTTATGATATTTTCAATTCATTGAAGGAGGTTAGATTTGGAAAGAAAAAACTAGTGCGTGTTTGTTGATTGTCTTCACAATAGTGTACTGGAATTTTACTCCGCTTTCTTTTTCCAGTTATTGACTTCTTGTACAGGCCAGCAAGAAATTTTAGTTGCCTTTTTCCTAATAAATGCTCGAATATATATGAGATATTCGAATGCACGGAAAAAGATGGAAAGGAAAAATGTCGAAAAAAAACGTCGAATGGAAAAGAACGAAAAGACAAAATATCGAAAGAGAAATGTAGAAAGGAGAAAGTATCGAATGTTGAAGATAGAATAGAAAGGATATAAGTTATAAGAGGTCGCTTGAATGTGACGATTGAAATAAATCTCTTATGGTTGGCTGGTTCTGTTATCCATTTTCAGTCTTATGATGTTGAACAACGTACATATACACTATTAACGTAATCGATGATTGCTCGTAATTATTAGTTTGCTTTTCATGGATGTACTGTGAATTATGAGCTCTTTTCTATTTGTCCTAATGGAAAGTCGCTATTAACAACGAAAACGAAACAGATTATAAACGACTCTTTTTTATTGAAAAGTTTTATTTACATATGGGAAGATAATCAAATGTACACTAAGTGCTTCTGTTTATTTTAGATAATATGACTACTGTTTCTAAAACTTAATCTTTCATGTTTTCTCAAAAAGGAAAACCATTGTTAGTGATGGACAATTTCGTATTTAAATTAAATAAAACCACAAATACAAAAAAATATTATCAATGTGAAAATCCTCAATGTACTCTGACTTTACGTACAGATATAAATGATGTTCTTAATAGGAACTAAAGATGATCATAATCATCCACCTGAACCTGAACAAATTGAAGTTCGAAAACTCAAACACGTTATCAAAGAACGTGTAAAAAATGAAACTACTCCTATACCAAAAATATATGATGAAGAAACAGCGAGATTTTTTTAAACATCATTGGCTATGGCTATTGTTCCATCACAAAGAGAAATAAGTATTCGAATTTTTGTTCTCCTCTTTCTGAAAGAAATTATTTTTAAAGATAGTTCATTGAATAAAACAAGACGTCTTCAAACACCTGCAATACCAGATTCTCAAATTTTTTATATACCTGATGCTTATACAAAAACACTAAAAGGTGAACCATTTCTATGTGTTGATAAATTGATAAAAAGAAAAACCCATCTGTTACTATTTGCATCACGTGAACAATTAAAGTTGTTATTCGAAACTCAAATTATTTTGATGGATGGTACTTTTACCCTGCCAAGTGAATAATGGGAAAATGGTCATTAAAATGCATTATTTTTCGTAGCTAAACCATTTCGACCATTAAAATGCATCTTTTTTAGCGAATAATGGTAAAATAGCCATTAAAATGCGTTGCGATTCAAAAATGATCCATTTTGACCATTTCATAAACACGGACTTTATTTTTTTTGAGTTTCAAACTGACTTAAACAATACTTATGGTTTCTGAAATTCAGATGGTTCACTAATAATTGCTTCGAAAACATACGTATTTTACACAAAAGTCAAAAATATTTTTCGAAATTCTGCATAAAAGTTGATTGAAAATATTTGGTCCTAGTATAAACATAACAAACAATAGTTGGAAAATGTTAGTTTTTGCGTAATTTTCAGTAATAAATCGATAACTCTTGAATCAGAAAAGATCATGCTCTCCATAAAACTACCCAATTTAATAGTTCCCCTGGGAGATCGATTTCTTTAGTGGAAAATATTTTTTTTAAAGTTAAATTTCATTTTCATCTATCAGATGAGTAGCACACTATAGATAAAAGACCTAATGCTTCATTTTGTCACTAATGAGAAATAAAAGTGTTTCTAAAGTGATGAAGTACATTGACATTATCGAAGCTACAAGGCAGATCTTAAGAAGCCAGGTTATCTTTGTATTATAAGTAAAATCTGATTTTGATGATATTTTGAAATTACTAACTAAAATTGGAGTTTTCATTGATCATCAAAATTTAGAAATAAAGTTACAATGCTTCGATAGAAAATACATTGCAACGGATTAAGCTAAAAGTTATTTCTTTCTATTTTAAAATGAAGTTGTG